TCTGTCTTCTGCATCCTCTGTCCTCACTCTGTCCTCTGCATCCTCTGTCCTCACTCTGTCTTCTGCATCCTCTGTCCTCACTCTGTCCTCTGCATCCTCTGTCCTCACTCTGTCTTCTGCATCCTCTGTCCTCACTCTGTATAAATGTTTTGTTTGGGTAAAACTAGTTTAAGTCAGTTCTAAAGAACTACAAATAAAATTAGTAAAATAAATTGGTCTGTTATGAGACTGTTCACAACAAACTAAACACTTTGCTCCGTAAATGTGCTAAATTAAAACGGTAAAATAAAACTTTGTATATTTAAGGTTGTTATTGAACTTTTCCAGGAAAAGTTGCTGAACTTGAACCAAATAACATTTTTGAGCTGTTCAGTCTAAAATCGCTCTGATTAAGAAAAGAGTTTCTAATCTTGTGTTATCTAGTGTTTCTCTCAATTAATCATATTTATTATAGTTTTTTAATGCCAAATGTTAAAATATTTTCTTACCACTTCTTTCTTTATTATTTTTCACACATTTGATCAACTATGCACCTTTTGTGCATCTTTGAGTTAATTTAATGTAAATAGTTTTTCTGAAACGTTACGTATGTTTAATCACAGTTAATAAAAACTTATTGTAAAATCTGATTCGGCTTTAGAGAGCAACTATTCCAAGTTTCACCTCAAGACCGTGAGTATCAGCACACCAGAGATGACTGGGTTTAAGGAAAGGACACTGGTTTTAAATAAAGGGTTGAAGTAACGCTGATGCTCCTGTATTGACATTTCATGATTGGAACCATGTGGCCGTTTACAGAAATCAATAGTTCTGAGTCTGGTTTATCTTCATGCACGTCTGCCTAAATTCTTGATCCTTGACTTTAAGTGAGAAGTATTTGCAGTTTGGGGAGATCATAATTAAATCTAGTGGAAAATGAAGAAGGTCAGCTGCAAGACGGCTTGGTGGGCGGGGGGAGGAAATCTGCTTTAAGTTAACGAGACTAATTCTCAGCATTTTTCCACAGTAAAGAATTAAAAACTGCTTGAATGAAACAGGAAGCACAAAAAGAACGTGCATGTGTGTCTC